GCATGAAAAAGTACAAACTCTCTCCTCGATGCAAATTAGGCAAACATATTCTAACTATATCAGAAGTAGAAAATCTTGTGCCCATAGATGCTAATCTCCCCATGGATTCTTCCATCAGACTTTATTTTTACAAAATTTATTTAAATTTTTAAAAAATGAGGTAGAAATTCACTAAGATTATTCTAGCAGTCTCTAGGATTTTACAGGTTCCATAGATTCTTTAAAAATAAATATGGTAGCTATCTGTGGCACAGTGTTTGTTTGGAAGTATGTACATGGGCCCAGAAAACAAAGATAAGCTGGAGTGAGAGACAGCTTTCTAGGGATCTAGAGATACATGTTTTTATCTATTTTTATTACTATGCCCATCAGGAGAAAAACAAAATCATAATTCAAATTCAAATTCAAAATTCAAAATTCAAAATTTGCTTTTTTCTAAATAAGCAAATTCCTCAATTATACTCATTTTGTGAAAGTCCCTGCAAATATACTCTCAAAATTCCAAATATGCTAACTGGCCCATTTTCAACTATTTGAAATACTAAGACAAAGAAAAGACAAACTTAGAGAAGAGAAAGGACTGTGGACCATGCTGATTTAATAAAAAAAGAAAAACAGAAAGCTATGGAAGGTGCTTTTAAACTCTGTCAATGTAGTGCTGCACTCATTCACAAAAACATGCCCCATAAAGAGAAATGAAGACTTTCAATAAAGGGTGGGAGGCTAGCATCTGCCACTAATCTTAACTTTCTATAGATGGTAGGGAGAACATGTGAATAAATTTCCTTAAGAACAGACTATAAATAACATGTAGAAGAGAGAATCACACATGTGGCTAGCAAATATTCTAATTGTCATAGTAGTATTATTTCCAATCAGAACAACTACTTGCTGTTGTGGAGTCCTTGGTGCTCTCTGAGCTTGGTTGTATGTTTGCAGACATTTCATTACCCACCTAGGAAACATCATTAGTGCTAGTGAGTATGGAGTTTTCTCCGTTTATACACAGTAGCTTGCCCTGCCAGTGTTGATGGGGTGTGCTTTTCTCCTTGGTAGTTCCTTGATTAGGGTATTGTTTTCTGCTTGATTGTTTGCCTGGTGTTTATCCCTGCTTATCTGGGTGGTGGCTGCAGAAGAGGATGTGTTTTGGTCTTTTTTGTTTCCTTCTTTTTTTATTGTCTCTTTTGAACAGTGTGTAAATATGGTTTATTTCTATATATCTGTTGATGGCTGATTTGTCTGAATGCCAAGCTTCCAGGAATTCCCTTGAGTTTTCAGATTTAACTTGATCTAGGATGCTCACAGTTTCCCAGTTGAAACTATGGTTGAGTCTGACCATGTGTTGTGAGATTAAAGAGTTTTTATCATGTCTTCTGACTGCTAGTTGATGTTCATGGATGCGCTCTGCTAGTCTTCTGCCTGTCTGTCCCACATAGTGGCTGCTACAGTCCTTTTTTTCGATAGACTGTTTGTCTATTGAATTATCTATCAATAGAGTTTTTATCATGTCTTCTGACTGCTAGTTGATGTTCATGGATGCGCTCTGCTAGTCTTCTGCCTGTCTGTCCCACATAGTGGCTGCTACAGTCCTTTTTTTCGATAGACTGTTTGTCTATTGAATTATCTATCAATAGATTGCTTGTCTATCAAAAAACAGCCCACGCTAACCAAGTGCACCATTGCCAAAGTAACAACCCAACCTCCCACAAGAGGAGCTGTGTAAGAACATTATTGAGACGAGTATAAGTTCACTGCAGCAACCCAGAACACCAGAAAAAGGAAACAGACCACCTATACATCTTCCAAAAAAATGGATACCCACACAATTTTATCAAAAAGTGCCTGACCACTGAACCCACTGCAGCACAACCAACACAAGCTATGACAAAGAGAACTCTACCATACATCAAAAAATCTCAGAAACAACCAACAGACTATTACAACCACACGGCATCACTGTAGCACACAAACCAACTAAAGCCCTCCAAAACACCTTAAATAAACCAAAAGACCCAGTAGCCCAAGAAGAAAAAATAGGACATCTACAACATACAGTGTAAGGACTGTAATAGCCACTCTATAGGACAGACAGGCAGAAGACAAGCTCAGAGAGCACCAAGAACTCCACAGTTCAACCCTGAGCTACATATATTCTCTTTTACTGATACTTGCTATTAGTTAATATCCCTGTGTTCAGAGCTCATATATTACATTTGTTAGAATTATACAATTCTATGGAAGTGTCCACTTAGGTCACTGAGTGTGTCCTCCCGCTCAATGCTGGAATCCAAATTAAAGTAACCGTTTTATCTACCCTTCACTTGAACACATCCAGTGAAGAACAACTCAACACCTTTCCGAGTAACTGGATCTACTATCAAACTGTCCTTATTGTCAGGAAATTTTCTAACATCTAGCTGCAATCTTCCTTCCAATAACTTCCTGTATTATAAGTTAATATGAAACAGGTCTTGGCCAACTGTGGGGAAATATTACTTGCTATAAAACATGCTATAATCTGATCCTTAGAGACATTTATCTTTCACTATGCTACAAGATTTTATCTGAGACAGCCACTGGGATGAATTGTGGCTTCTTAATCTTTTCATCTCATTTCATTTTTATCTGGAAAGTTAGCTTAGTCTCTTACCAAGCTCCTGGGAAGCAACATCTAATTAGTAGTTAGCCTAGCCCTCTCTGTGATGGCCTTCTGGAGGCTTTTCAAGATCAAACTCTTCCAAAGAACTTATAGGGAATGTGTGCCATCTTTATTTGGATGCTATTTATTTATTATTAGCTTTTATATTATTGGTTTATTCTTGTGGAATCTTGTATTGTATTATTCTTATTTATTGTGTAAACGTTTATTGCATTTTATATTTTTGGAACCTGCTGTGAATTTTGAAAATACAGTGATATTCAGGTTTGATAAACAAATAAATTCCAGCATAAAAATACCCCAAGTAGAGAAATTAAAACGGTCCTTTCCCCAACCTCAAGGTAGCAATAATCTACTTCAAAGTACTGTATTTTATAACTGCAAAAAAATCACCATGGGTTTTTTTGTCTCATTAATCTTAACATCTCATATTTTAAATCTGGGCAATATTATTTTTAAAAGATATTTCCTTGGGTTTTAGACTTAAAACCACCAGTATACCTCACATCCATTCAAAGTGCTACTAATCATGCAGCACTGAATTTCTATCCATTCCAAATAATATGTACAGTAGGTTAAATCTCTACTCTTTATTAAACAGCTACTGCAGAGAGAGATATTCTATACATGTTATAGCATTAATTAAATCCATATCATATTTCTGCTATGTATGGGCTTTAAAAAAAAGCAAGCAAATTAAACATTTGCACGCATACAGTAAGAAATTACTGCAAAGAGATAGGAATAGCCCACTGCTTTCAATAATTTTATTACTGAAACAGAATTTTTTGAACATACAAAAGATAAAACCATTAAGAAAAATACTTATAACCATGGCCTTACAGTGAATTATTATAAATGTTACTTGTTTTATATCATGTATCAACTCATTGGTAACACTGCTCCTAATATGCATCACTTTTGTGATATCTGCTCATGCAAGAATACTCAATGCCTTTTTTGCTTTAAATTATTTACATTTAAAAGACAAAAGTAAGATAAACATGTTCCCTATTTTTCTCTAAAAAATAGAGTTCTATAGAAATTGGATGAAGATCTGGAAGGAGAAATGCATAATATGACACTGACTTTCTGGAAGTAAAAGTTTCCACTCCACATGCAAGCGCTCCAGTAGGGAAAGGTGCTAATTGGATGAAATGAGATGATTCCAATATAAGCATTCAGGGTGTGCAAGAAAAAAAACTATGTGATACTGGACTGATTTTCTCTGGTGCTTAACCTTAAGCCAAAGCCTTGTTATTTCCATGAAGCTAGTTTAGTGTTTTCTACAGATGTTCCACTGAGAGAAAGTAAGTTTTTAACTTTATCAGGCTAGTAAAGAGTGAGTAAAAAATGCAACCACCAAGAACTCACTGATTTAATTCTTTTATGGACTATTAATACTACGTAAAATGCAATTAATGGAAAATTTTAGATTGTGGGAGAATAGACAAACTGAATTTTGGTAGCAAGAAAAACTATCATATGGTAAAGAAAAGCTACAAATGCATTCCAAAAGAGCACACTCCTGGTAGATTTTGTTCATAACGCTGAACCATGATGTGGGTTTTGTTTGGTTTTGTTTTAATGTGATAAGTGATCTCATCCCCAAAACTCCTGGCTTGTTTAATAATAGCTTGTTATACATGAATCCAGAATTCTTGTATTCCACCAATTTCTTCTGGTTCCAGCAGAAGAAATAAAAACAAACTAAATATCTGGAAATTTTAAAAAATAGTTTAATACAAATATTAGTTTATCACTGTGAGAACATAATCCCTCGGTCCAAACAAGTCTGGGACCTTACAGAAAACTCTTAAATTAAAGAATCTAACTCTATAGGTCTATATATGAATGCTTTTATCTGAACAAATGATATGTAAATACACTTTATCT